GTTTACTTTTCACAAGATCTTCCGCAGCTTTCATCTTTTCTGCGAAAAATCGCCATCCACCCTTTGGCTGCAAAAATCCCACAGCGCGTTATCTATCATGCGTTGGTAGATCATCGGTGCATTGTTTAACCCGAATGGCATTCTAAGCCATTCGAAGTGCCCCAGTGGACAAATAAATGCTGATATCTTGCGAGCTTCGTGAGTCATCATTATGGCCCAGAATCCACTAGCTGCGTCAAGTGAGCAGAACCACAAATAGGAACCCAAGTCTGTAAGCAAATCGTCAACCAACGGCATAGCATACTCCATTATGGCTGTGACTGCTTTGACCATCTTATAGTCAATGCATAATCGAATGTCTTCCCCATTCTTCTTCACAATCGGCGAAGCCCACTGGCTGTCGGAAAATGACACAAGGTTTGCTTTCAGCAACCCTTTTAGCAGCTCATAGAGCTTCTGGAGATATCGGATTGGAATCCGACGAGCTCGCTGCTTGATGGGTGCGTGATCTTCCACATTTATGTCACACACTACTCCGTATGCTGGCGGTGGTAAGGCATTTCCGCTGGCGATCATTATGTTCCTGTGAGTTTTCAAAACATCCACTAACTTGGCCTGGTCGTCGGCTGATAGGGCAGAATTCACCACATTCGCTGCCGAAAAGTCAAGCTCTGTTGGTGAATGGTCTGATAAATCCGGCAGGAACGCTAATTCTTGGGCATAGTCAGTCAATTCGACGTCAGCTGGTTCATGCACATAGATTACATCGTCTTCCGCGGACTCATATCCTTTGGTAGTTATGGCTTTCACAACCGAAATGAACGCCTTCTCCAGGTTCATGAAATCACTTCCAGAGTCCGGATCTGGCGTATCTTCGGGGAAATTAAATTCGAGTGAGTCGTCGCTGCTTCCTTCACTGCAAGACGAGTCGTCGTCAGATGCGCTTTCTGTCATCCCTGTGTTCGCAACCCAGATGTCCGCACTCTCTTCCATCGTACTCCTTTGCACATCACCCCTGTCCTCATGCATATTGCTGTCACTAGCTGTTTCACTCTCTTCATGTTGGAGTATTGAGGTCGGGTATGTGTACTCTGGTCGTGCGACAGCTGATGGTTGGGTAGCTAGCCATTGTTCGTAAAATTTCTCCTCTTTCTAATAAAGATCCTTGTCGCGTGCTTCTGCGTACGCCAGCACTTGCCATTCCGTGTTCTTCACCGAATCTAGTCGCACGTATCCTACATCCCGCGGAAGATGTCCTAGCGGAACCCATCCCAATATCGGGAAGTGGGCTGGACAGTACACCGTATGTTCTGTAATATTCGTCAACCTAACGCGGTATGGCCATCTTTTCCGATAACTCGTGACA